GGCAATTAGCCAGGGCTGAACTCCACTCATGTCACATTTCTAATGCAGTACAAGTACACCTGACTCGTTAAAAACCAGAAAGGAGCCATGGTGCTGGGCACCAGGCAAAGGACACATGACAGACAGAAACTGTGCCTTCCTGGCCTGTGGGTTAGCAAAAAATGTAATATATTAGCAAACAGACTGAAAAATCATTGAGAAGTCTCCTTTTATTGAAGCAAAGCAATATGTTGCAATATATAAAAATTGATTCTTTCAAGCTTCCAGAGATATTAGAGAAGTATTACAGAGAACATCACATTTGCTACTAATTCTTAAAAAAACCTGACAACCCAAACCTCTAAAAAAGAAAGCCTTTGAAGCAGTTTTGATAGTGCTGTTTTAATACATTTTGATGAGATTGGACTTTCTGTGGCAGCAATTTATAAATACTGGTGGGCAGATTGATTGAAATGAAACAATTACAGTCTATACTAATGAACCTAAAAAAAAATACATTTTTGTGAAGGTCAAACAATAGCTGGAGAAGCTACCTTAGACTGTGATCCTTGATGGGCACATTTTGAATATACTACATTTTCTTAAAGTCAATGGTGAGAGTAATGAGGTTATGTAATGCTTTACCTTTCTTGACTTTATAATAATTTAGTTCAAGCTTTAGGAAAATCACACTTTCATTTCAACATCCAAAAGATCAATACAGCAGTATACATTTAGTGCTTGAGGGAAATTTACTAAAAGTTGTTTCATGATGAAAATGCCAAAGGCAGATGCTTTTGTTCAATCTGTTGCTTTGAAGCGACCTTGTAATCTTAATTCCACATTAAAGACTCATGGCCATTATATCAAACAAAGGCAGTAGGGGTCCCTGTAGAATGATTCTATTTAAAACCCCCCACAGTATTAACACATTTTAGCATAGCAGTCTGTATAATTACTTTGGACTAACAGCTGATCCTACAATGTATGAAAGACTTTGACTCAAATGCATATAAAATCTGTCTGTTGTTCTTTGCCTAGCCAGTGCTCCCCCATCCAAGTGAAGAGGATCACAGTGTTTTGGCCAGCAACGTTCTACCTTCCAAAGTTTTGGAGGAATAATCAGCAGAAAAACAGATCAAGCTGAACTCAGAAAAACAAATCAAGCTGGACTTAGAACAATTCCTGGGCTGATAAATCAGCATTTCCCATTTCTGTTTTTGTGGTGGCGTGTATGATATGGAAGCTTTCTGGATATTTAGAAAATTGGTTGAAACTTGTGTTGAAATCATATATCAAGTAAGGCTTTACTAGGGAGGGTGACCTTAGTCACTGAGCCTTAGACCCTGTTCCCCACTTCATGTCATGCTACTGGCAGCTCAAGCCTTCCTCCTGTGGTACCTTGTTCTCAGTGTGGCTCTGGGATCATTCACAGCAGCCCTAGGGGATTTGTTCTCTCAACAACTGCATTTTCCCAAAGCACAAGAGAAGCTCAGGCACTATAGTAGAGGAAATGTATTTGAATTTCTGTATAGAGGCTTTGCCCCAGAGGTCCTGGTTGCCCTTGATGGGCTGCAGCTGTGATGTCCTTAACTGGGCTGCAGCTGTGACCAATGAAGAGAACTGGGATAAAAGAGGGCGGGTTAGCCAGTCAGGGAGAGCTTTGGAGGAGCCTTGACCTGAGAGAGAACAGTAGGCAGAAGAAGGAGTCAGTGAAGATCTGCAGCCATGAGAATACACTGAAGAGGTATGGACTTTAGAAATCTGATAACAAGACTGATTGGTGACCCTGATGTGATAGGTAGCAGAAGATAAGACAGCTGAGAGCTGTGGTGGCCAAGAGCTGTGACAGAACATAGCCTTTGGGTCAGGGAGCTGTGACAGAGTATGGCCTTTGAGCAAGGAGCTATGTGGGTTGTACATGGCATGTGAGTCATGGAGAAATGTATGTATTGTACTTGAACATCTGTACAACTGTTAACTTAAGTAAAAGGGGGAAATATAGTAGAGGAAATGTATTTGAATTTCTGTATAGAGGCTTTGCCCCAGAGGTCCCGGCTGCCCTTGATGGGCTGCAGCTGTGATGTCCTTAACTGGGCTGCAGCTGTGACCAATGAAGATAACTGGGATAAAAGGGGGGTGGGTTAGCCAGTCAGGGAGAGCCTTGGAGGAGCCCTGAACTGGGAGAGAACAGCATGCAGCAGAAGGAGTCAGTGAAGATCTGCAGCCATGAGAACACATCAAAGAGGTATGGACTTTAGAAATCTGATAATAACAACAACAAGGCACTGCTGCAACCAGAGAGTATTTAGCTCCAGTATTTGATACCACTCTAGGCTGGAGGGCAGAAGGAGAATTGATGCTCCCCAGCCACATGCTGTGACTACAGCTGCAGCATCCTTCCTTTTCCACTGGTACATATTTGGACTGTATCTGCCCTTGTAACTTTGGATTTTCATCTATTGTACTCTAAAAGCAGGAGCAAATGCCTTGACCTGTATTCACAACAGTTGTGTAATTTTCATGTAATAAAAGGAAGTCTATTAACCTAACATCAGTTCTTTTCAGCTGAGATAATAGAAGCAATCAGCACTGATGGTGCTAGGATCCTGCCTGGACAGCAGTGAACAGTTGAAATAGAGAGGGCTAGTGCAGAATCCCATCACATGTTGCAGTTTTGCATCTCTTGTACATCCAAAGTGCTACAGTGGGAATTCTGAAGCTGCCTGAATTACAAAATCAGGCCTTCAGCATGAGAGAGGATGTTCTTGCTCACAGAGAGAGAGAGTCCTACTGGGAGATAAGTGCCAGTAATGGTCAGTCAAACCTTGGTGTAGAGGGAAGTGTTCTGAACTCAGCCTCTCAGATATTAATGTTTACTCCTCTCAGTTGCAGAGTCAATTGCAGTGGGGAGAGAATCAGAATTGTCTCTGTGTGCAATAAAGCTGGGCTTGCTCCCAGTCTGGCAGCCAGTGCCGTTCCTGTGGCTGGCATTTCAACTATTGCCCCCTTGTACATGAGTTTTAGTTGTGCACAGTGTAGCAGTTTCATTCTTTCAAATCCTGAGCCAGAAGAACAGGATATTTCTTTTGCCCTAATGAATGTAGTCTTATTTCCTGCTGAGATTTAATATACTGCAGGTAACTTCTAAATGTGGTGATTGTTTTTGGAAGGCAGCTAAAATGACCAAGAAGGAAATTAAAATAAACAGGACAGAGACCCAGAAAACTCATTTTAGAGAGCAGATACTACAATGCAGGAGACCTTTACTCTACAGAGAGCAAGTGTAGGGGTAGGAAAGGGGAGCAGGGAAGGATGAATGCCCAAATGAAGGTATTTGGAAGAGTGCCCTGGAGGCTTTAGTCTTTTCTCTCTAGTCCTGAGAGGAGAAGGAAAAGCAAAGTGAGCTTCCCAGCCTCCTCCCAGTGGTTCTGCTAGAATCTATACAGAAGGAAGCCCCTCTAGGGAACTGAAAGCAGTAAAATATTTCACTACAGTTCACTTTTTTTTTTTCAGTCTGCAAAAACTGAGGGAAGTTTCTTAAAATTCAAGAACTCATCAATTATTTCTAAAATGGGGCTTTATCCATGAATCTGGACCTTAAAATAAGTGTTGTTACCTGTCAAATGTGCAGTTCATGAAAGAAACTTTTCATTATATATATTTTGTACTAAAGGTCTTTGATTCTTGGATGTAAAAACATAAAGATCTAGAGAATGACTGCTTGACTTTTCTAGTTTTATCAATTTACATGCACCTATCCAGACTTCCTGAAATCAATCTTTGCCTGCCACTGCCCTGCAGCTCTCACACACCACTCCAGAGCCAGCTGTGCATGAGTAGTTGCAGCTTTCTCACAACTTCTGGAGGACAATATGACCAAATGAGAAAAAGGGGTTTAAATGTGCATGTGTCTTAGTGACAATGCACTGATTTCTCGTAACACACATGAACTTTAAGCTCCATGTATTTTATGATCATACTCTGCCTTTGCACTGCCCTGCATTCCTCTCTTTCCCGAGCATTTGTGGTGGAAGCAGCCGATTATTTCAGGTCTCACAGTATTTATTTGGAGATCAGTGCCAGGCCAGCAGAGCAGTGGCATTACTGAGCAGCCCTAGAGCAAGGACTCACACTTTGTTTCCAGGGAGGGAGGGAAGGAGGCTTCCTGCCCAGAGCTGCATCTATCTCTGCCCAACAGCGGACCCGGCCTTCAGGTCACCGAGCAGGGCTCCAATCTCTCATTCTTATCTGCTGTTCACGTTCCTGGCCATTTGCTTTTGCAACTGCATGGAGTCACTTAACATGTGAACCCTGGACTATGATAGTTTCTTCAGGTATCTTGTAATCTTGAAACAAGAGCAAGTAGTTTTGAGGCAAGAACGAGTAATTTCGGGTTCTGACAAAATCTGTGTGAATAGGAAAAAAAAAAACCAGCGGAGTGGAGTGAGCCTAAGGGCTGGCGATGGCTCCAGCCCACCATGCCCCAAGGCTACTGTTAAACGCCTTTAGCACTTCCAAATAGAGGTGGAAAGCAACTCTTCCAGGGATTACAGCAGAACTGCACATGAAGTGGATTTTTCAGAAAGCGTTAATTGAGGAGAATTCAGCGGTAGGGCAGCAATCCCCATAAAAAGTTGTATTTACATTATGTTATATTGGCTTCTAGGCCTGGATTGTTCCTTAGAAGCCAGCAGGCGCGGAGAGGGCCGGACATGGTCCCTCAGGACGGCACTTCCCGGGCTCGGGGGTCCCGGTGCGGTGCCAGCCGGGCCTGTGGCGGGGCCGTGAGGGCAGCGGGGCCGTGAGGGGAGCGCGTGGCGGGGCCGTGAGGGAGCGCGGAGCTGCCGTGACAGCAGCGCAGGGCAGCCGTGAGGGGAGCGTAGCGGGGCCGTGAGGGCAGCGCGGAGCTGCCGTGAGGGGAGCGTAGCGGGGCCGTGAGGGCAGCGCGGCGGGGCCGCTCCGCCCGCCCCGCGCTGCGGCGCAGCCGCCACGTGACCGCGCAGGGCCGGCGAGCGAACATGGCTGCGGCGGAGGGGTGAGTGCGCGCCCGACCGGCACCGGGACCACCGGGACCCCCGCACCGCCCGGCCCCGGGACCGCCGGCAGCCCGCTCCCTGCGACGGCCACGGCGCGGCCGCTGGGGGCTCGCGGGGGGCCCGGTGCGCCAGCGGTGTCCCGGGCCGGCGGCGGGGCCGGGAATGCAGGGCACTGGCTGGCGCCGGGCTGTGAGTGCTCCGGTCCCGGGGTTCTCCGAAAGGATTTCGGGTTTTGCGCGGGGCGGTGAGAGAGCTGCGAAAGGTCCCACGGGCGGGTTGGCTCGCAGTGCCTCGCTCCCAGCCGTGCGTTATCCTTGAAGTTGTCTCAGGTTTGGAAGTGATGCTTTAAGGTGGCTCGGATTGCACAGCACAAGGGTTTTCTCACATTTTATAGCAAAATTCAGCCACTTCTTGGTGCTGTAAGAAGGTGCCATTATAACTGTATCAGAACGAAGGGGGAAGTTTACACAGCTGCCGGACACGGGCCAGGCTGGGGCTTGGCTGTGAGCCGGGGCTTGCGGAGCTCGCTGCCCTGCGGGTCCCCCGGCCCCGGTGTCCCCAGCGCTGCCCTGGCCCCGGGGCCACCCCGGCCTGGGCTGCCAGGAAGGACTTGGGGCTGTCAGCTTCACAAGAAACACTGAGCTGGCCGTGAGGAACATACCCATTTTATACCTTGAACAGTCGTAGATGCTATTACTGTTTGGTTGTGTCGGCCCTTTCCTTGTGCTAGGCCTCTTGAGCTTCACATATGGGATGTGGAAACAGCATTGGAAAGTGTTTACGCTTCAGGCTCGTGTTGATGAATCTGTTGCTCAAAACAAACAAATAAATAAGGCCTGGTCAACAAACAAGTGGTAATTTACTGAAAAGTAGTTTCAGTGGTTTCTCATCTTCATTGAAATCTGGATCCTCTCTGTGGGATCTCAGTAGAACAGAAATGGCAGTTCATGAATTTTCTGCTCAAAAAAACCAGAAGTACAGAAAGTTAACTGAAAAATGGTAGGAAAACCAGAAATAAAATAGGAGTTTTAGTTACCAGTGTGTTCTGGTGGTTGCTTTACAACAGATCCAAAATATTAGATGCATCATATAGTACCAGAATGTATGCTCTTTAAAATGTAAGACTTCTGAAATGAGCATTGAAAATCGGGAGCTCCAGGCGAAGGAAAAATATCTTTAAAGAAACAGATGTAGTTTAATGTTCCTAGCTATATTTCACTTGCAGTATAATAAAATAAAAGAGCTTGTCTGTGAGCTTGGGCCTAAGTGATCATAAAAATTGTATGTGACAGCCAGCAGGAAACTGTCAGCTCCTGTGGGAGGCCTTTACCAGACTGAGCAGTGGTTGAATGCTGGTACCAGACTGGAGGAAACAAGGGAGCTGAGCTTCTCTTGCCCTGTTTAGTTCTTGCAAGTGTCCACTTTGGACAGCAGCTGAGGTTTATTTGCAAAAGCTTGCATAGCTTCAAAGAGGCGTGCACCACAGAGCAGTGCTTGCATCAAATATCCTTCTTTATCAAAGGTGTAACTTCACATGAGGGTTTTGGGTTGAGTTTGTGGCTGGATGTTCTGGAGTCCTTGTGCTAACAGAAGAAGCCAAACTTGAAGGACCAGCCAATGTGTTGTATTAATTAAATTCTAATAACTCTGCTGAAGCAAGTCCAGAGGAGGCCACAAAGTTGATCAGAGGGCTGAAATGTCTCTCATAAGAAGACAAGCTGAGGAAATTTGGGCTGTTCTGGAAAGGAGAAGCTGTGTGGAGACTCACAGCCCCTCCCAGTATCTGAGGGGGCTACAGGGAAGCTGGAGAGGGACTGTTCAGCAGCAGCTGCACTGACAGGGCAGGGAGTGATGGATGGGTAGAAATGGAAAGAGAGGAAGTTTAGGCTGGATATTAGGAAGAAACTCTGAACTGTAAGAATGGTGAGGTACTGGAACAGGTTGCCCAGGGAGGTTGTGGATGCCCCAGCAGTGTTCAGAGCCAGGCTGTGCAAAGCCTTGAGCAGCCTGCTCTAGTGGCAGGTGTCCTTGCCCATGACAGGGATGTGGGACAAGATGATCTTTGAGGTCTGTTCCAAACCAACCCATTCTATGATTCTGTGATTAGTGTGTCTTGTGAGATACAACTGAGTGATTAGAGATCATGGGCCAGAAGGAAAAGCTTGTAGCTTCTTCCCTAGAGAGGATTTTGTGGCAGTTTTTTTCCAAGGCAAAAAACATAGTTTTACACTGCTTACACTGCAGTTGCACGTGTATTTGTAGGGTTGATACACATGTGAGGTACTTACATATGAGAGTTACACTTAATTTACTACAAGTCATCGAACAGCCAGTCCTATGTGTGACATTTTTTTTCTTGTGATCTTGAGTATTGTGAGAGTTCTGTTTCCCAGTTTTTTCTTTGCCATGGAAAGCTGGTTGTACAGCCATACACCTTTTTGTATGTATTTTGTATGTACACCCTGTCAGTATTGTCTGAGAAGAGCTGTCTGTGTTAGCTGTGGGAAGCTTGGCCATGGCTGATGTGTGCCAAGTGAGGGGATCTCTGCAGGCAAAGCAGCACCTGTGGGTGTTCTGCCATGCTGTCAGTCCATCCAGGAGGTGCCACCAGTTTGGTATCTGGGTGCTTGCAGGAGAGAAAAAGAGACCAAGAGCTGTGGAGGAAGCAAACTCCTCCAAGCTGAATATTGTCCCTAAAACCACGCTGGTTTTCTCTGCAGAATTCCAGTTGAGAACATTGGTGTGTTTCCTGGCAAGCTCACTCTGGTGAGGTGTGAGTGAACCCGGGTGCTCAGCAGCAGCCTGAGAACAGAGCAGGGTTTACACCCAGCCCAGCTCTTGAGATTCCTACTGCAGCCTTAAAGCAGAGGCCAGGGCCGTGCCCCTGAGGAAACTGTGCCACTAAAACAACTGCAGAGACCCTGCTCTGCTCTGGGCTAATGCTGGGCCATCATTTTCAGGGAAACTGGGATCTGTTATGTCCAAGGAAGAACACGCTTTCACTTTGAGAAAATGTGCACAAGAACTGTCATTTTGCACTAGAATGCAGTTCAGCTTCAGCATTAAGATCCCAGTAAAGGGCAGACTTCAGTGACTTATTAAAACTACTGCTATGAATTGCTGCCTGATGTCATCATTTCTCCTTAAGTGTCATTTGGATTGTCAAAGGTTTTAAGTGTAATAAAAGCATTAATATTAGACTTAAGGGAGATGAAAATGTGCCTTTGTAGCAGCTTCCTCTGAACTCCAGGGTGTAGGAATAGGCCTGGAGGAGAGAAGTCAGAGTTCTCTCTTTTTTCTTTTTTTTTTTTTTAAATCACAGAAAAAAATCCCCAATCTTGTGAAGTGAGTAAAATTGCAATGAAGGTGACTTTTTTCCTTCCTTTGAAGCAAAACATGAGACAGGCTGTGCTACAACCTCTGCCTGTTAGTTTTTGGGGTTTTTTTTAATCAGCAGATACAAAGATATGAGAGAAACATGTGATATAAGGGTATCTGATGATGTTCTCTCCTCTCTTTTATAAATGCCCCATAAGGTGAGTATGATTTCCAGGCTGTTGCATGTACTTACTCCAAGGGATGATCATGCTTGGAAACAGTGTTTTCAGCCTCCTGTGCATTGCTGAATTTCTGAGCCACAGCTCTGTACCTGGAAGGCCTTGCCTGTTTTTACTTGGAGGTTCACTATCTGACTAAACTTTCAGTAGCTTTTGCTGGGATTGGATGAACTTGCTTCCTTCTTCCTACAGGCATGGGTACCCCAAAACAAAAGCTTGTGCTGTGTTTCCAGGCTGTGCTGATGTGCTGCAGCCCTTGTGATGATTACCTGCCTTGGTGAGGGGCTGGCAGGTGTGTGTTGGAAGGAATAAAAATAAGCACATCTGGGTTTTCTGCACCATCAGCTGAACTTGTAAGCAGATATTTTGAAAATTGGATTAGCAAGAGCAGTCCTTTACCTTCTAAAATTACTTATGCTGTTCCATCAAGTGGTTATAAGCAAGTAAAATAAAGTATTTTATTAGGTCTTTTATGCTGTGGCTGCAGTAGGAAATTACAGGGTTTACATTTCTGAGGTTGATAGTCCTTTAGGAGGTTATGCAGCTATAAATCAAAGGTTACCTTTCAGATTGCCCATGAAAGCTATATAATAATTAAGATGTGGAGCTTTGCTCCTCTAAGGTTAAGTACTTTGGTGGTTGGTTCATTTCTTGTCATCTTAACATAGTAACAAGGTAACTGCACCTTTCTGGCATCTCCTGTAAAGCACAGCTGATAGAAAGTGACCATCCAATCAGCCTTGGAGAAGCTGAGGTGGGGGAACAAATTGGACTTAAATAATAGCATTTTATAGAAAAATTGTATTGATCATCTCTAATACTGAAGCTCCAAAGCACAGCTTTGCTATTTAAGCATAAAAAACCACCCTCAAAATAAACTGCTTTTTAGATTGTTCCCATAGCATCTGGTTAAACTCCTCCCTCTGCTCCATATCCTAGAAAAGCTGTAGTGTTTCTACTGTAAATCTCCAAAAGGTGCACTTATAGAGCTGAAACAAATGTGAATGAATCAGCCACATATTCTTGAGGTACTTTCAACATCTAAAATTCCTTAGTAACAGCGAGCTCTCAGCTTTTAAGCTGTGTCCTTGCAGTTGCAGCTCTGTTGAGCACAATCCTTCAGAAGCTTTCTGGGCTGTCTCAGCACATTAGTGTGGCCTTAGGGACAAGTGGAGGTGCCCAATCCATGCCCCTGTGGCCACGTGTTTGAGTTCAGTCACTGGCTGAAGCTGCTCCTGTGTGTTCAAGAATAACCATACATCCACAGAAAAGAGATTTGCCCATCCTGTGTATGGGAAATGCTCTTGTCCTACATCTGCTGTCCATCAGCTTTTCTCTCCACTCTCTGTTTCCCACAAGGACTTGCTGAAGTTTGCTAGACTTACTGTAAACTTCCACTTCTGTTTTCAGCACTGATCAGAAAATCAGAACTGATTTCCTTCCCTCCTGCTTTGCATCTCCTCAGCAGACACAGGCTGTGGTCACTTTGTGTTTCCTTGCCCAAAGGGATGTGATGAGGGACCTGCTGTGGGCTGTAGCTGCAGCCAGCCTTGTCTGCTGTTCCCACCTGTGAAAAACACCAATCACTTGTTTCTAAAATTTTAAAAGTTTAATACTGATAAAATGGTTATAAAAATAGTAATACAATTAGAGTAATAATAATTTGGACAATTTGAATTAGGACAATATGAGACAATAGAGACAAGGAGTTATGGACAGTCTGGGTACCTTTTTCTGGGCAGCTCGAGCCTGACAAAGGACCCACGTTAACAGAGGATTAACCCTTAAAAACACCAGCCTGTTGCATATTCATACACCTCATACATGATGCATAGATTCCATTCAAATACAGGATTTTGTGGTCAACTTCTTCCTCTGAATCCTAACAGCACCTTTGAGGTGGGAAGAAGTTCATTTCTCCTGATAAGAGGGCAATAAATTCTTTTTCTCTGAAAGATTTAGGTGTCCTATGGCTGCTATCTCACTGCAAGTCCTTTCTTTAAAAAAGTATCCTACATAGCATAGTTTCTATTTTAACATTTTTTTATAACCTAAAACTATATTTAACACACCGCTTAAGAGAATTAATACAGCGTTACTTTCTAACACAACACATATAATATTCCTTTGAATATTTGCAAAAAGCCAATCATAAAATACATGCATTTTTCACATGCCTTTTTCCTTTGGTACTTGTGTGAGCAGTGCTTGGTGTTTGCTTGAGAGCAATGTGTGTACAACAGCTCTTTCCCAGGAGTGATGAGCCTCTTGTTAGTAGAGTTGAATTAAACTAATGAACACTGTGCATGTAAATTGTGCTAACCACTGTCTTTGCCATTAATTGTCAATTGAAAAAATCTCTTCTAGACCCTCCTTTTGGCTGGGGAATGAGACTTTGAAAGTGCCTGTGGCACTGTTTGCCTTGAACAGAAGACGGCTGTGTGACCGCCTGAGACAGAATAAGGATGTCCAGAAGAACTCAATTGTTCTGCTGCAGGGTGGAGAGGAAACCCAGAGATACTGCACTGATACTGGTATTGTGTTTCGCCAGGTAAGAGCTGAATCCAAACTTCAAATGAAGAAACTCTTCCACTGCATGGATTTTTAAATGATTTTCAATTATTTTCTCTATCTCTCAGATGTGCATTGTCTTGCTTCATTTAAATAAATTGGCTTCTTTATAACCTTGCTTCTTCAGCTTTGACTTGCTCTCACTTGCAGTGCTTTAGTGCAGGCTCATTATCTGGTTTAAAGGTCTAAACCTGTTCAAGGCCCTACTGCTCATCAGTGTTTGAATCTAATCTTGAAGACAGCAGTAGAATATTTCTTCATTTTTTCAGTCTTGCCTGTGACCCAAAACCCAACCTTCTTTGTGTAATAAAACATGTTACAGTGGACCTAAGCTGAATTAATTAATAGAGAAGTATATTTCATGGTTTTATAAAACAGCAGCCTATATCTTGGAATTTACAACATGTGTCCTCTTAAATTAGACTCTTCCTTAAGCACCCATGTGTTCTTCTGTCACAAATAGGACTTAACATGTTCTGGGGATATTGATGTAAAAGAACTCAAATTATGTATATCCCATACCCTGCATGGTTTCTGCAGCACTTTGTTTTGTGAATTTAATTGAGCTGTTGTATGTTATGAAGAAACAAACCCAGAAAATTCTAATTTAGATAGCACATATCTTAATATAGTTATTTAGTCTGGTTTTAGAGGATATGCACCTTTCAGGGTACTAGAGCATATGCCTGTCCTTACTGAAATTAATTCCTGTATTGTTAGGTGTTCTGTTCTTTGCTTGCTTGTTCTTGAAATAGCTCTTGGCTGAGGGCTGTTCCTAGTGCAGTTTCCTCCTCTTTGGGGAAGGTTGAGGTTTCCCTTCAGCACTCAATGAAGCTGCACTCTGCTTTTGCCTTGTCTCTTGTGAGGTGGTTGTCTCTCCCTGATCACACATTCCCTAATTCTAGATTGGAAGAATGTATTTTAATGTGTAGTGTATGTTTATTGTGCTGAGTTAACCTCTTTATGGTAGTTTATTAATCTCTGATCCTTTCCAGTTGCCAGCAAAAGGATTTGTATTATTCTAACCTAAAACTAACCAGTCTGAAAAGGTTTAGACATAAACCATTTCTCCTGCTCCAAAAGCAAGAGATCTCTTCCAGATATGTGGAAATAGGAATTAATATGTGCTCTAGTGTATTTTTAGAGCTGGAAGAAGTGAAATCTTTCTTCTAAGAATATATTTTGTTTTAACCTAGGAATCTTACTTTCACTGGACTTTTGGAGTAACTGAAGCAGGCTGCTTTGGAGCAGTAGATGTTGATACTGGAAGATCTATGCTTTTTGTTCCACAACTCCCTGAAAGCTATGCTGTTTGGATGGGAAAGTAAGACTTATCTCTTAACTGCATTCTGGTGTATCCAGGTACTTTATATAATGTAACTGCCTGTAGAGCTCCAGTGTTGTGTCATGGAATCAGATTCCACCAAGTCACGCCCTGGGAACGATATATTCATAGAGGGATATATACAAACAGATATAAAACATGATCAGTAGATATTGATCATGTGATTTGAAATGATCCACCACCATTTGGAACACAACTCCCTTGGAATTGGAGCCCAAGCAAGTCAGATAATAAAGCAGGCTTTTTCAAGCTGCTTTGCCAGTTTGCAGCAGCCTTAGCTAATGAAGCTTTCTGAATGGCATGAGGTAGTTTAGCCTCTGATAGGCTTTTTTAAAATGAACTCACAGACAGGAAAATGTGCTTTTAATGCTATTCTATGAGTATGCCATAAACATCTCTGCATCCACCTTGGTAGTAAATGCTGCATAGTGCCACAGTAGTGGAGGAATTGATTTATTTGTGTGTTCATTTATTTTCTCAGTCTTAATTGTATTTATACCCTCTACCAATTTTTGTAAATTTTTGTATCACCTACATTGTCTCAGAACATTGGACTGCTTCTAATGCTGCTTCACTTCTAATTGAAGCTATCACTTATATTTTAATGCTAATTCTGGGAAAAGGAAAACAGTTGTAACTGATCCCATGTGCTGAACTGTGTCAGACCATATGGCAGGGCATGGCTGCTGTCTTCTCAGAGAGTTGATATGAATTTGACTGTCTTAGACCTGTCTGGGGACTGAAATTGTGATGGCATAAAAATCTGCCTGCTGCTGTCTGAAAGACTTTAGCTGTGAGCCACACCTGTCTGGGAGGGCAGGTTCTGTGATCCCCCCATGTGTACTCCCTGAAATCTGTTCCCACTTAGAGACAAAGTTTTTTCCTATCCTTAGGTTCTCCCCTGCTAGTTCAAAAGAGCTGTTTCATACCCACTCTGATTGTGCCTAATCTAAAAAAGCTTAAATATTATTGAAATTCCAGCATCTCATTTTGAATTCTCAAACAAAATATTGTGGTGCTTATAACTAATGGCCTTTTTGATTTGTTTGTGCAGCACTTGTTATCTGTCCGTTTACAGAATTAATTAAGTCAAGTTAAAAGTGGTTCATTGTCATTGTCTGTGTCTTCTTGCAGAGTATAACAAATGGTCTTTGTTGCTTTCTAAATTCTTCTCCTTCCCCCTCCTGAATGCTCTGTTTTAATGCCCTCCTCTGTTTGAATCTTGTTTTCTCTTCTGTCAGCCGTGGTCATGTACTTTTTCTGCTTGTCAGAAGGAGGATGGGTGAATAACTCATTTGTGAGTCAGTAGCAGTTATGCTTCATAAGTTGGTTGACAGTGGGTACTGCTCCCAGCTGGGGACTGTGTTCCTTCCCAGAAGATTCAATTTTAACTCAAAATTAGCAGTGAAAGAAAAACACAAGTAAACATGCCTTCCATACACTGCAGTTTATTACTATAGTTTGCCTTGGAAGTGCTTACTTCTGTGCCCATGGAAGGCACTGTGTGCCCACTGGAGAAGCAGTCATTCAACATCAGTGAGGCACAAATCAGTGCAATTTTTGTGTGGTGTTTGAGGGGTTGGTATCTTACAGGGGTCTGCAGCTGGTCTGCTAGTTCATGGCACAAGGTGGAGTTGCTTTGCCTGGTGTTTATTCTGCTTTCTATAGAAGACAGATGTGAATTTGGGCAGAAATATATAGATTCCCTTAAAATTAATGCAAAAGGCTCTTTACTGCAATTTTACCACTGCTGTATTACTAAATCTATCATTTGATGTGTTGTGCCTTCACTTCACTGAAGAACACATATTTGAGTTGCTTCTGAAGCATAGTGTGGGTAATGTGAAGAAGAGTTAATCATTCAGAAGGGTTAATCTTTTTGCCTTGAAGTAATACAAAAATGGGACTCCTTGACTCCATTCACTGCAGTGTCACTGTGGCCACAGGCAGTGCAGTACTGGGGGTGTTTTTTGGAGATCAGTGGGCTGCACCTTTCCAGATGGGCCCATGAACACTGTGATTCTCCCAGCCTCAGCACTGCACTTGTTTCCATCAGTGCTGCTGTGTGCTGAGTGCCTGGGCACTCTGCAGGACAGGTGGACATGGAGAGGGGGATGCAGCACTCTGAGCAGTACAGGTGATGAGGGGGATGCTGCTTTGGAGGTGTTATGGATCTGGTAGGACTTCATGCTGAATGTGTGTGCTCTGAAGATGTGTAAAAATACACATCTACCTTCTACCTTTCAGAAGTCCTGCAAGCCAAAGTAACCTCTGCAGCTTTAAAAGGAAGGAGAGATTTAATTTAGCTTGCAGACTATGGACCTTCTCCAAAAAAACTCCAAACCTCCTAAGGTGGCAGTTGCAGAATTGTTGTGAGGGTAATTGTAGGACTGGTGGTCCTGTGTTCATGGAAGTGATCACAAAAACACGGCTCTGGTTTTAAATTGTGGGTGTGGCCATTTGGCCAGATGTTGGGCCAGCCAATTTCTTGGTTGCTGGCTGGAAAAACCTTTTCAAGTGAGAGAAGCACTTTGCCTGTCTCTTGACCTGTAGCTCTGCCCCTGTCCCTCTGTCATTTGTCAGGCAGAAACACAGACTCTGAGCTTAGTGGGTGGCTTTTCTGCTCCTGAATATTCTTCTGTTTTTAGCTTTAGAAGTAAGAGTTTTAGAAATGAATATGGTAATATAGGATTGTAAAGGCTTCAGAAGTGTAAATGTTTTGGAAATGTCCCTCTTTCTTGGCACAGTCTAACCTAATCAAGTTTCCAGTGCAACAAAGCTGTTAGCCATCATTTCTGTTCCTAGAAAGCATTGAGTTGGTATGGCTGCATGCCTTCACAAAGACTTCAGTTTTGCTAATTAATGCTGCACCTGCCATTTACCTCCTTAATTATAAATGACAGACCTAGTCAGTGTGCTGATTAAAGATATTTTATAAAGTAAAACATACTGTACAGCAGCTGCTTTATGTGGAGAGCATGCCAAAATGACTTAATAGCCTTGCCACATAGAGTGTTTTTAATGGAAGACAAAAAGTATTTAACCCTTTCACACTCTAACTTTAGAAACTCATATGAAATTATTAATGGTTCAGAAAAATAAAATGGTGCTGTGGTGCCCAATTTATTTGCTGCAATTTCTTGTGTTTTCTCTGAAGCTCTGCTGGATGACTGGTAGGCATTGCAGCTTTAATCTGACTTTAGTTGCAGTCACTAAGTTGCAGCTTTAAATTCACTCACTATAAGTAATGTTGTTCTATGAATTTGATGGAAAGCTATCTGTGTGTTCAAAGTTGAACCTTGGATTAGCACTTGCAGCTGTAATAAAGCCCATGAAATGCTTTGCAAATGTTATTTATTTGTCAGTGACCTAACAAGGAAGCTCTTTAAAACATTGTCATAAATTTCAAATAGGTTACAACCAAAATCAACCTTTGGTTTGGGTGATTACACTTGACTGACATCAGCAAAACTGAGTCTTTTACTGCCTTTTGTAAAACTGCAGAAATATATGGTTGGGGTTTTTTGGTTTGCTTTTTTGTCCCTTTAACACTTTTGAAAGGATCAGGTACAAGAAGGGAAGGGATCTCATGTTAGAAAGGATCAGATCAGTACAAGAAAGTAGCCTCTCAGTCTGTGTGGGCTTTCACCTTTTTTTTCTTATAGACTTTTTGGGACTATGAAAATTGAAAGCTAAGAAATTGATTTCTTGATCTCTCCTTTTACATGGAGATTGGTGAGATTCTGTGGCATTTGTATTTTGAATAATTGTGAGTATTAAACTGTGCACAGCATGGTATGTTTGCCTGCATGGTGGTGATAGAGACTGCATGAATTACCCTTGCTCTGGCAAGCAGAGGGCAAGGTCTGTAGAAGGGAAGCTGACAGGAGGGACAGCTCTTTGGAGAGGGAGTGAAGTGTGAGTGCAGGGTATAGGGAATGAACTCCAGATTACCTTGACTGCTCTTCTTGATGCACATTTTTCAGCAATGAAGAAGTTTTATTAATGTGGAGCATACAGGTCTTCTTCACAGCCTGCTCCAGATCTGTGTTTTTTGGTTTTACCTTCAGAACTGATCTGCCATCTCCTGCTATTTTTTATTATAATTTTTTCTCTAAAATGAAATATGCTTTTCTTTTTCTGTGTCTCTCAGTTTGATCCTTTACTGCAGTTTGTCCCTTCCCAGTACCCACTGAATCTTTATTTTGCTGTTTAAAAAAACCCAGGTTTTAATCACTTTTGATCATCTTATTACTGTTTTGTAGCCATTGGCATTGCAACTTATCTGCCAAGTTTGTTACCATCTGGAAAGGTTCTCTGTGGAGCTCAAACAAACTCAGTTCTGCTTCTGTTTCTGAGTAGTGTCAGAACTAATTTCAATCTTTGCAGTATCCCACTAATCAAGACTTGCAGTCCATTTCTGTTTATTGCTTTAACTTCTGGGAACATGAGTCTAAATTGACACAGCACTTTTCAGTGTGGCACTTGGAGGGTTTCCCAGCCTGGGGAACGCTCATCTTTTTATCTATTTATTTGTTTTTATTTTCTGCTTTAGGCTTTTCCGTTTTGTTATTTTCACTAGCATTGGGTTTCAGGTTACATTGTAGTGTTTCTGTCCAAGCCAATTTGACTCGATTTTGGAGAGTAGCAGTCTTGAGAGAGTTTTTTTTTTGTCAAATATTTTACTGTTATTCATGTAGTACATCTGGTGCTTTGCCCTTGATCTGATCCTTTCAAAACTGCATGATAAAGCTGGTTGCTTTTGATTGACAAGACTTACTTGTGCAATCCCCCAGGGTGCTTATTTTCCATGATTCCAGTTCTCTCCATGCATTGTGATTTCCATTCCTTGTGCCCTATTCATTTATTATTGTATTTCATAGAATCATGGAATGGCCTGGGTTGGAAGGGACTTTAAAGATCATCAAGTTCCAGCCTCCCACCATGGGCAGGGACACCTTCCACTATCCCTGGTTGCT